TTTTCAGTTTGAACATCGACTACTCAGAAAGCAGATTTGTCAAAAATGGATATCAAAAAAATGGAAACAAAGGATATCAAAAATATTTCAGAAAGTCTCCAGGGTGCTATTTAATTACTCCTAAGATGTTTGAGGAAGTGCCGAAAAAAGACAAATACCTATCACTTACATCTTTAACGCTATTTTAAGAACAATATACTGGCTAACCCAATTCAATTGTCCATTATAAAGATGATATCAAGAATCGCCAAAGATCCTAGCTTGGTGACCTTATATCAAGGTATCAGTCTGCTTCCAAAACTATGCAAAATTCTCGAAAGACTTCTGATTAAAAATATACTGTTCGGAAATATGAAATAATTCCAAACAGTTTCGAAACTTGGTTTTCGAAAGCAGCACTCGACCACACAGCGATCCCACAAAATTGTCCAACAAATCAATAAAGATTTTGATTCAAAACAATATTGCTCTGCTGACGTCAATCAAGCCTTTGATAAAGTATGGTGATAAAATCTTCATACTACTTCCTCCTGAATATCATCAAATCCTGACATCATATTTAAGAAATATGAAAACTCAGGACTGGAGTCAATCGCCAAAGTTCTGGATTTCTTCCAATTAACTCAGGGTACCACAAGGTTGTGTACTGGGCCCAATTTGTAGAATTCATTATCCTTAGGATTTCCGACAACTAAATTACCACTACGGCCAATTTTTGTGATGTTATTTCAATCATATCATGTGGCCAAAATCCATATATAGCATCAAATAAATTACAACAGTTTAAATTAATTCATGCATGAATAAATAAGTGGCATGTTAGCATTAATAAAAGCAAGTCACTGCACATCATTAACGATAAATTTACTTGGTCTGGAATACACTTAAAAAACATGCAAATTTCAACATCAATTGTAGTAATTCGTCTTGATTGACGATAGTGAGTGTGGGAACTATACTGGCTCATCGGACAAAATTCAAATATATCTCTTGAAAACTAAATCTCAGTTCATACTATAATAATCCATTTGGTCGTATGGAATAGAGCTTTGGGGCCACTCTAACAAGTCAAAAGTAGCATTAGTACAGTGACCACAATCAAAACTTCTTGAAGATGAATGGAGAATGATGGAATGAAACTCTGCACAATGGTCTTAATGTGCTATGTATTAAAAGAAAAATAAGAGCAAAATCCACAATTCCACACATCAGCAATTAGAAAATCATTCTATTATCAATTTACTAGTCGCTTCGTCACTTCTTAAACCAGAACTTAGAAGACCAAAAAAATTGGGTGTAATACTTTGATTCAGTAATTTGTATCTTTTAATAACAAGCGTATTAGCTGTCTATAATCATATTTCAATAATGTAAATCAAAAGAACTTGCAGAATGGAATTATGTGCTGATTGTTATTAATAAAATATAAAGAAACAAAGTTCATTTTAAACGAAACAGTAAAAACACCTATTGGTATGGTAATCATGGACCAATTAAATTAAAGCTTCAATAAATGCCAAAGATTTTATTTCATTATAATATGGAACACGAAATAAGAAACGTCGTTCTATATTTCAGCCATAATGATAGCGCGTTGGCATTGTTTTTTCATAGTTATTTTTTTATTACAGTTTACCCACTTAGAGAAAGGCCTCGGTGGCACGTTCATTTACATGTATTTAGCAGCGAGCGCACTTAACAAAAGCTTTACAGTGTAGAGGGTCATATCAAATAAATTGAAATGCTAGAAATGTCACGCATTGTATGCGAGCGGTGCGATAAAATGGAAACAACACGGCGGGCTCTCGGTCACTCTAATGAATTGAGAATACTGTGTTAATTACTGAAATTACACATTCATATATAACTCGCTCACTACGACTCTCTACGAGCTAGAGAGGTACAGATGAATAACCATAATCGACATTGTCAGCAAGGTGTTAAAGTGGAGCAAAATCCATTAACTCTCCGATATCTAAAAACTAATTGATCAACTAAATTTTGTACACTGCAAACAGAGGATAAAGTGAAGCAAGATGTATAAACTTGCTAATGTCTAATGATAATTTTTGACCATCAAATGCCACTTTATTAACATTTTTTTATTAGTTCTCCGAAACAGCTCGATCTGCCTTTATAAAAACTTAGTTAATTCTTCATTTCGTCAATACAAGTAAAATGTTTTCTGAATCATTCAAATCGGATGGTTTGTTCTCTTTATACTCCGCCGGGTGCAGCCGATCTAACCGACAAAGGGTCACCATTTTAGTATGTTGCTCCATGTTGTGATGTCATCGAGACCCCCAGATACCAGTGTAGCCTGGTTATTTAACATTCAAGTCTTTGAACTTGAAAGTTTGTCTCATGAAACGCACTGAGCCGAATTCTATTTGATGTATAAAATGACTTATTTGAGAAATTTGAGTGCATAAATATTCGTATATTTAGATTTTGCAATATTATACAAATGATATTGATCCAATACGAATTTTGTATTAATTTATTCATAAAATAGCATTGTAAAAACACCAGTTAAATAGAGGTATATAAAACTATGAGCCCAGCCTGCGAATATAAATAAAATCTATTTATGTCAGATACACTCGATTCTATACATATTTTGATTGCCCGACGACTGTATTGACATTTGTTGTCCCATATCTTCAAAACGTCTGGAACTGCGTTAGCCAAAAGCAGTCAGTCTCCATCAATAGGAATCAAATGTATTTTGAATCATTCAAATCGGTTGATTTGCGCTCTCCAAATCATCGACAAAAATTTTGTATCCGCATATACATACATACTACACACACACATAGATTTTTTGAAAGCTTGCCAAAATTTTCACGAAGTCTTAAAACGTAAAAATATACAAATTTAGATAGCTTCTAATTACTATACCTTATCCTACAAGAAGTTAATCAACAAACACAGTACCTCTGTAAGAGATCAAAATGACTGAAGTGTTAAAATTACCATAGTTATAATTATCTCAAAAATCGGGGCAAACTGAAATACTGTGAGGATATGATGCTTTTTATAACGAATAATGTTGATTTGCTGGAATAAACATAATATTTATATACATTTATTATCGTATGTCGTTAAACTGTAGCATAAATCTGCTCAGGCTGTATGTTGTTTCACGTTTTACAAAAACCTAGAGTCAATCATGAGGCTTCTATGTCATTTATATAATGAAAATTAAGAAGTAGAATAATGTAAAGATAAGAAGTAAACTAATTGAAAATAATATAAAGGCATTTTAAAAAAATAGCAAAGTTTTTAAACGGTTTCATGGCATTCGAGTATATATGGTCCACCCGGTTACCATTTATAAGAAAGATTGAAAAATATTATGAAGTAATTTATCATGTATGGTGTGCGTGATTACACCTGTACAAGAAATATCATTTACTAAATGATAATTATATAAAATGACTGCACAGTGAAACTTACCTTCACTAATTTTTATTGTCTTTACTAATTATTTGCTATTTTACCAGTTAGAATATTAAAATAAATAAGAAAATCTTAGATTTAGAACCACTTTTGCATTTGTGATGTTTTCTCTTCTAGGGAGTTTATAAAGTTCATCTCTTGCTGTAATTTCGAAAAATTTTGTTATCAACTATTTCGAATATCACTCTACACATCTCTATATCGTAAAGATACTTTAGTGCGTGCAACTGTGTATTGTTATTAGAGAAGGATATTGTGCAGGTGTAGTACTCAGGTGCAACTGAAAATCATGGGTTCTAAAATGAGAAATAAAAGAAATACAAGTGGTTTGAATATTTATCACAAATTTGAATAATATTTATTAAAATTCGAATAATCAAGAGTAACAAATTGTTTATAATTAACATCGGATTTCATGAGTTTATAAGGCTAATTTTTAATGCAGCGAAAAGCGCATCATCTTCTATACATTTTGGACATAGTACATTAATTTTTTCACTATTAGTAATAAATTAACGAGTATCATTTCATTTTGGCATATGCATAATACGATTTACAGTGAGATCTGCTGGAAAGCATTTTCATGTAATTATATCGTGAATTCATTCCTTACTAATTAAATTAAATGCTAATTCAAGTATTTTTGGAATGTTGAATTAAGTACAATACTGTAATTTGGTCGTTCAGAATTTTCAGTGTATTCAAGTGAAAAAAATACTACAAGTGTGGTTTTATAGTATTATACTACAACAATAAAAAAAATAAATGTCAATGCCAAGTATTGACTGTTACTGTTGCAATCACATTATGTATGATATAGAAATCTATTCTACTATTTGCATTGTATGGAAACAGAACAATGTTCAAAACCAAGATCACAATATTTCATCAACAAAACACTTATAATGTAAGAAATGAGAGAAAATAATATTACCTAGGATCTACCTAATATCTAAAAATTAACATCACATTTGTGAAGTGAACAATGTTTAAAACCGAGTTCACAATATTTCACGAACAAAACACTTAAAATAAAAATCAAGAAGAAAATAATATTACCTAGAATGTACCTAAATAAACAAATTAAGATTAATGTATATTGTATGAGCTGTTGTGTCGGATCTTCTACCTTTTAGAAGGTAACTACTGCCTATCTATAATTTTCAGGATAATTTATCTAATACTGATAATATATTTAAAATTTTGATACAGCAAAATTAGAGAAAGCTATTTTTATTTAAAAACATGAGACCAACTCTCTGATAACGTAGAAATGTTATGGCAATGCTATGTTACGGATCTATCTTTGTATGAATTGGTAATAACAAACTGTCAAAAGGATATGTATGTGCTATGCGATTCTAAACTAAAAATGACATGAAGGTCAAATTAACAAATTTGTCATAATGTCTAAATTAGTCGATTTTAGAACATTCTATACTCTGGGAGGGTGTAATCTACTATCTTTTTTCCAAATGGTATTAAACATTTATTTTCTGTTTTGTGAATAGAATTCGTATTATTACATTCCTTTGGTCATGAAAAAGCCGAATGTGTTTTACCAAAAAATCATAAAAAAATCTGCCAAACAAATGCAGTATATTGCCTGTGTTCTAGTTAACACTGTACGTACCTAGACCGAATTTCGAGCGAGTAACGAAGTTCGAACGCATTGAATTTGCACATGTTTTATGTAAACACATATGGGCAAACAAAACACACATGTGAACGGCATTTCGTGCGAATTAATTTGATTACGTCACGTACAAATGCCCAGTTACATGCGCCTATACACTGTGCATTACTTCTATGAGCAAACTATTATGTAAACAAAACCTCTGCTTCATGATATTTGAATGAGTATACATATATGAAATTCATACGAGTGGAAATAATAGTGAGGATTTTTCATTTGGTACGTTTGTAAATGGCCAGGTTGTACATGGTTCTGTTTGGAATGAAATTATTTTGAATAGTAGAAAATAATTTGTTTAATTTCATATATCATTATTATAGATCTGCTCGTAAAACTCAAAGAGAAATAAAAATATAGGGAAGGCATTGCAACAATATCACTATTGATATTAAATCTACTAATAATTTTATCAAAGAGAGTATGGTCCATCACCAAATTACCTTCTAATAAAAGGATTCAAGAATTACAGCTCAACAGCTCATATAACACATTGTTCTGACTGTTCTGTTCAGATACCAAAAAATATGAATATTAACATTTAAAAATGTACCTATATTATTATCTACTGATATCTTTGATTTTCGATTCGAACGATTAAAAATAGTCGTTATGTAAAAAATTATTTAAAAAACATGTAGTGATTTGAGGTAGACATTACATATAAATATGATATATCAATATGAAGATCAACGTCATATGATATTTTTTTACATTGTAGAACTACCTAAAACTCAACTTATTTGGTAAACTCCTATAAGAATAATAAATGATAAATAAATATAAACCAATCCTAATGACAGTGCGAAATATATTATTTCTTATTATTATTTATGTTGAGTAGCAGATCTGAGCGATCTAATAGTTTATCCAGTTCTTCGCTACTAATTACACTTTCACCAGAAGTAACAACTACTTTTTCATCTTCAGTGAGAAGTTTTTTCAAATTCTCTAATTCAGCCTTTTCTGTTATTTGTAATTTCTTACCAACTAATTTGAACTTATCTGTTTGTATTATAAGTTTCTCCAGTTTTCGTTTTTTCTCCCCAACTGAAATGATGACTTCATCAATAGTACCTCTAGTTACAAATTGATATATTATCACAGGCTTTGTTTGTCCAATTCTATGGCACCGGTCCTGAGCTTGGATGTCTACTTGAGGATTCCAGTCACTGTCATACAAGATCACAGTATCAGCTGCAGTTAAATTTAAACCTTGACCTCCAGCCCTCGTGGATAATAAAAATATCTTTACTTCAGGATCAGTATTAAATTCTTGTATAGCTTCACTTCGTTGTTCAAAGCTTTTACCGCCGTCTAGTCGCCGGTAGTCGTAGCCTCTCATTATAACGAATTCTTCAATAATGTCGAGCATCATAGTCAGAGTACTAAATATAAGTATTTTGTGCCCTCCAGCAATAAGTCGACTACTCAACGCGTCAAGCATCATCATTTTACCGGACTGAGTTACAAGTTCTTCATCAATACGAAGAACCGGCGTTTCACCTTGTATGCATTCCTTTTCCAAAGGAAAATGAACCAGATATGGATGATTCACAATTTTGCGAAACATCATTGCAGTATTTTGCATAGTAATTCTGACTAGTTCACGTATTACTTTTTTTGGAATATCCGTGAAACTGCTAGGAAGATTTAATACATCCTCGTAAAAATCGAATTCATCGTCTGATTCACATTCCTTAAAAAAGTTTGAGGTTCTAGCCTTAGTAGGCCGCTTCTCTGGCAAAATTTCAAATTCTTTTTTGCCTGGATTCGCTAATTCTTCAATATTTCTATCTACAACATATTTGTATAAATCTCTTTGCTTGACAGAGAGGGGGCAATATACTATCAGTTCTTTCTTGGGAGGAAGGCTTAGAGCGACATCAGTTTTTAAACGGCGCAACACAAAAGGTTTCAGAATATCATGCATCATAGACAAAGCACGAGTTTCCTGCTCCTTCTTAATAAACTTATCAGCATCATTCTTCAGATCATCTACGTCAAGCCATGCTTCAAAAATTTCAAAATCAGTGAAAATTTCAGGCAAGAGGAAATGTAGTAATGACCATAATTCCCTTAAATTGTTTTGCAAAGGAGTACCAGTTAAGAGTAAGCGATTCATTGACTTGAATGATTGCAAAACTCTATATAGTTGAGTTTTATGACTTTTTAATCTATGGCCTTCGTCAATTATAATATACGACCATGTGGGCACTGACATGATCGCTTGCTCGGTCAACGGTGTTTGATAACTAGTCAAAACTACAGGACGGCACTGTGTTTTATCACCCACAATGTATTTTTTCTTTAAAATAGAGGAGACTAAACTTTTCCTTGTTTCCTTGTCACCATGGAAGAGAACAACTGGAAGTTTTGGAGCAAACCTCTTAAATTCTGAAGACCAATTGGGTAAGGTAGATAAAGGAGCACATATGAGAAAAGGCCCCCGGACACCCTCATTATATAAATGACAGATAAAAGCAATAGTTTGAATTGTTTTGCCAAGACCCATTTCATCTGCAAGAATTCCGTTCACTCCATTTTCGTAAAGAACCTTTAACCATTCAACTCCTTCCAGCTGGTAATCTCTTAATTTACCATTCTCAAGCAATGATATATTCATTGCTCTTGCCTGTTCATTGGAGGAATTTCTTATCTGAGCTAAATCAATGTCAGGCTGTGTAGCTGAATGATTTTTGGTTTTAACATTTTGCATGTTGTTACTCATTCTCTCCTCTATATATTTGGAATACACACTACTTTTATTAAGAAGATACTTCAATGCGCGATAAGACTGTTCTCTTTTGCTCTTTTGTATATTCAAATCTTCGTTCTCTTTTTCTTTTTTAGAAAGTTTTTTTCCTTTTTTTGTTTTAGCATATTGTCCCTCATCAGCTCTCATCGGTAACGAAGAATTCTCAGTATTCTCATCTATTTGAGAAATATTATCTTGCTGACTATGCTGCATTTCATCATCTTGCTTAAACCTTTTTGGAGAACATAGTTGCTCAACACTTTCCTCATCACAATATTGTCTTTTCTGCTTATTGAAAACATCTGTCTGAGTTTCCATATTTTCTTAGTAGGAATCTTTAAACAAATTCTAGAAAAGATTTACCGAAAATTTGAATTATTGAAATTATATTGATAAAATCTGATAGAACTACAAAATATCAATACTTTGAACTAACCATAAAATAAAATACCTAACCCAAATAATTATACTTACAGAACACAGAAAATATTTGATATACAATATATATGTACATATCTTAAAACTAATATATTCAAAATTGCCAGTTAGAAGAAGAGATTACTCGTTTTTTAAACAAAATGTTTTTGGAAGATTTTAACGTAACATAAGACCGTTTTTTTTTCAATTCTGAAAATAATTTAAAGATATATAAAATTTAAAAAAAGGGCTCGTTCTAGCTTTATTCAGCACGATTTCAGACTAACGTCTACATATATAGTACATGCAAAATATCAATAGAAAGAGCATTTCTCTATACGATTTCAGACTATTTTTCCATGCGTTTCCACTCATAAGGGCCGATTCTGCCGTAAAATAGACCAATGTTATGGCAAGGCTCTGTTACATAGCACTTCTCATACAAAATGGTACTGTCAGGCGTTTAACACAGAAATTGCAACTTCACTCGTATGTTATTATACAACATCAAAGATGCAGTTATGGCAGCATTGTATTTTGAGATTTGTGCGTTTTAGGATAGGTTTTCTATATAAAACCCCCGACTGCAAAGCATCCACATGGCAATATTTAGTGTCAATTTGTATGGAAGGGCCACGTAACATAGCCTTGCCATAACATTGCTCTATTTTGGGGCAGAATCAGCTCCATAGTTTAATGAAAATATGAGTTACATCCACAAATTGGCATAAACATTATAAAACACGTTACATTTAAAATAGTAATAAATAAAATTGACATCTAACACCAAAACCAGAAATTTTGGCTGAATAAGTGATTATAGTTGTAATGAGTTTGAACAATATTTTTTGAAGACAGGCACGTATCCGAAGCAAGGTCGCAGTCTGTATTGTAACGATCCCAAACATATTCGCTAAAGCAATTATTCACAAAAGACAATTAAATCGTTCGAAAGTATTATCGTAGCTCAGTCAATTTCTTTTGATGGCTCACAACGGTGTTAATCCTGCTTTTTACAATCCGGCAATACTGAATACTCTGTGTCTTTGGCCGAACGGTGGCCTGCGGTCACTATTAGTATGCTGTTCATGATGTAATTATCCCGAGCGACGTTTTTACGGCGCTTTTCCACGAAAATGGACAATGTATAGAACACATACACATCAGTATAATATATACACACATTTTATATATACATATACATATATATAAAATAAATAATGTGAATTTTCTTTTATTTCGATCTTTTTAAACAACCAATTGCAAAACCTTATACTGCGACAATCATTCATTCCACACAGTACTATTATTGATCATATCGAAATTTGTTTTATAAAGAATGTCCTTAAATCCGAAATTAGTTTCAATTGTTTTTTATGAAATTTAGTATTTTCCATATATGCAATACATAAGGCATATATGCGCCTTGAATATGAAATACGATTATTTGAAAACATAGGGTAATATGACACTCAAAACACATTTAAAAAATGATTATAATCAAGTCTCCGCGACTCTATAACGTGACAAAAAACATAATCACAATTTAAAGTCTCTAAAGGATGGTTTTCTCGCTAGTCCAGTCATTTTAGCATTTCACCTCGTAATGTGAGATACCCAGCTGTAACTTTGTAAATAGTTGTATATTGACACCCTTAATGTTGTCTCAAAACCTACATATGGTAGGGTGTGCGCAACTATTAAATTTCGGGGTCAAAGGTCACAAAAATCGCGGTTTTTTGCTTTTTTTGTAAATATCTCATTTCCTATGGGTTTTTTGCTATTTATGTTTATTATCAATATTGTAGAAAACAAAATTCTCTACAAATTTTGTTTGAAAATTTTTTTTATACGGTGAACCGTTTTCGGGATAGAGGACGGAGAGCGCGCGGTCATAGCATCCCTTCAGGTCAACCGATGCCTTCGGTCAAAAACGCGCCATATATAGTTGATGAACTATCGCTAGATTAATGATTATAAACATTTGTCAATTTTTATTAACTATTTTATTATATTTTGTCATTTTTTTCTAACCTATCCACTTTTTATTCAGTATTAATTTATTTAACAACACTTACCTGCCCATTAAATTGCAGAATTGTTAATATAAGAATTATATTTAAATTTAAACCTAATTAATATTAATAAATTCTTACATGATAAAAAAACAAATAAATTAGGAATTTATCTTTTTATTAAAAAATATTATTTTATACATTTATTTTTTTCAAAGTAATAAAATGAAATAAATGGTACAAAACTACAATTAATAATTTTAATCATCTTCTTCCTCTTCATCGTCGTCTTCCGGCTGCTGGTGAATTTCAGACTGGTCTTCATTGTCGTCTTCAACGTCATTTGTCTCAATTTCTTCCATAATTTCGGTATCCAAAGTTCCATCTTCGTTAATGTCGCTCTGGTATGGTAAAGCATTGAAACAAGCTTGTCCATTACATTGGCCACAAGCTAAAGAGCATTGCAAGCCCGCTTTCCTGCATCCGCATCGCGAACCACAACCACTCTTGCAGTTGCAGAAAATTGTATTTAGCAAATATTCTGGAGCAGGTGGTAAAATTGTCATGATAGGCTCCAGAAAATCGTTTCGCATTGCCCAACCCCATACCTTTGGTTCCAAATCATGCCCTAACCAAGTTTGAACTTGATAATATACACGTTCAAAATGTTGATGAGCAGCTGCACTTGTTGGTGGAATATTTGCAAGCTGAACAGGTTTATTAAGTTTTGTAGACTTAACGTAATGAATATAACGAAGATGATCGAGACTTTTCACAGATTTCGGAGCATTATAGACTGCCAGTAAGATTTGAGTTCCACTCTCTAATAATCTCTGGGTCGAACAATTTTCTTCCTCAAATGCTTTAGCTAGTTCATCCAAATTTGTCAGTTTCTCAAAAACTTTTAAAAATGTTTTTTTTTCCCCTTTTAAAAGGCCCAGAAGTTGTGTCACATCCACTTAATGCGTGCAGAAATAAAATATGTGTTTTGGAATGAGGATAATTATCAAAACTTTTAGTCGAGTATATCTCCGTTTTTACACTTCCTGTCCCAACTTTTTTAAAGAAAATTTCTTTTCCGTGGGACAGGGTACGCCCAATTAAAATGACGAGTAAATCAATATCTTGTCCTATTATAATTGCAGATTTTCCAGACATTGATTCTTGAATTGCACTCTCAACAATAAGGACATCCGCATCATCTCTGGCTTGTTTTGTAGTTATATTTGCAGCCTTTAAATTTTCTATTAACATGTTAATTAGCCTAATTTTATTATTTTAATTTGTTAAAAAAAAATTCTTGAGAAACTGGTACAACTATTGTTTTATCGAAACATACTTCATATGATTTTGAAAGTACAGTTCTTCTCAGCTGCTCCATAGCTTTTACGTTCTTACTGTAGTCTGAATATCCGTCAAATACAACAATTATTTTGGACCTGTAATGCCTTTGTAAATAATTTATATATTTATCAATTATAATAGAAAAAGTATCTTCTCTGCTGGATTGGAAGGAATGGAAGGATTTTGAAATTTACATTACATTTAAAGAAAATGCACTTAATTATTTTCTATTTAAAATTTAAGAGTGTTTGTGAAACAATAATCATATTATGATTTAAGTTTTTTCCTTAATTATTTTTTAATTTTAGTAAACGGTGATCAGTATTATTGAATAAATATAGATTTAAGGCACGAAAAAAATGACAAAATATAATAAAATAGTTAATAAAAATTGACAAATGTTTATAATCATTAATCTAGCGATAGTTCATCAACTATATATGGCGCGTTTTTGACCGAAGGCATCGGTTGACCTGAAGGGATGCTATGACCGCGCGCTCTCCGCCCTCTATCCCGAAAACGGTTCACCGTATAAAAAAAATTTTCAAACAAAATTTGTAGAGAATTTTGTATTCTACAATATTGATAATAAACATAAATAGCAAAAAACCCATAGGAAATGAGATATTTACAAAAAAAGCGAAAAACCGCGATTTTTGTGACCTTTGACCCCAAAATTTTATAGTTGCGCACACCCTACCATATGTAGGTTTTGAGACAACATTAAGGGTGTCAATATACAACTATTTACAAAGTTACAGCTGGGTATCTCACATTACGAGATTCTTGCCTAATTTAACCTAAGATGACTGGGCTACGCGTTTTTTGGAGATTTATTCATTGTTATTTGTAATTATTTTCATTAAAATCTACGAACTTATACCAGTATAAGTGATTTCGATCAGTTTTATAGCAATTATTTAGATAATTTATAGAAATTTGATTATTTATTCATATTTATTCACTTTCGAACTAAAATGAACTATGTACTTATAATATATAATAGACAAAGTTACATTGAACTATTCAGGAAGAACTATAAGGTAGAATGAAAATTGAAACGTTTAAAGATGATTGTCTTTTGCAATCTACTCTAACTCATTCTAGAAGCAGGCTAAAAGATCCACCGGTAAAAAAGAGACATGCATTTAGTGATTATGAGGTGATGTCCCAAAGAGGACCAAACGATTTATCTTAATAAATTTAACTAAAAAAGGACATATCTTCAAATTTGCTATTTATTTTAACGCAATTGAGGGCCTGAGAGTACGATTTTTTAATTTACTTAAACTTGCGAGACTCAACAGCACAACTCCATTAAAATCCCAAAGATTCTATGATAAGGATGAGTGCAAGATATCAAATCTTGCATCAAACATTTGGGTAATAGGCGAATATAACAATAACATTTTTAATATTTTTTGAATAAATAGATGATTTATAAAAAATCGAATCACATTAATTTACTATAAACTTACAGCAGATAATGATAAAAAATCTGTTATAAAATTTTGTCAAATTTATAAATAATTTTAATATATCAATAAATGTAATTTAAAGAATAGTACAAATTTGATTGAAGTCGATAAAAAATATTTGGATATAATGATTTCAGTCTTTCAACTACAAGTCATCATATGCATAAATATTAGTATGGATAAAAACCAAATTAAAAAGTACATAAAAATATTAAATTAATTGTTACGTAGTTTTATGCAAAAAGTTTGTAGATGAAAATTAATCCAGAATATAAGTTTATATGATAAAACTTTTGTCGGAATAAAGCGCTTCTCTGTTTCTATGATCCGACTGTGCGCCTTCATTGTGAAAAAACACTTACTGAGCTAACTTCTAGTCTTACGAGAATAGAATTAAATTATTAATTAATTTTGTAATAATAGAACCTGATATGATAGAAGTTTATGTAAACTTTTGTGCGAAATCTTTTGAACTTAGTTACTCAAGTAAGTTCTATAAAGATATAATAAAATTATTAATAAAGTGTTATGTAAATTTGACGCCTAAATCTCTTCAAATAAAATTTTATGGAATGGAAATTCTTTGAACTATAGTATTGACTTATACTAATAACCTGCTATAAATTACTTGACTCTGGTATCCTCAAATAATTTCGTTCTCATTTGAGCTAACATGCTATTGAATTTCAAAATAATTAAACTTATACAGTGGCAAATTCTCCGGTAAAATATACCATAACAGTGTTGTTATGGCAACGTTCCTTTATTTATATAAAATAGTAGTAAAAACTGTCAAATTGCTATGTGTTGAAGTGCAGTCAGGCGTTTAAGATACAAAATCTAACCTAGAAAACGCACAAACGCCATAAAAAATATCTCAACTACTTCTTTCTGATGTGCACTTATAACACATACGTGAAGTTAATAGATTTTATGTGTAAATTGTCTAATTGCGCAGAAAATACTAACATTTTGACAAAAACAACGCTATGTCACGGTCAATTTTACCGAAGAATTGGCTTCTAATAGTTTTGGAGATGAGATCGTTACGGATTTTATTAATACTACTACATAGTTATACTAAAGATATTATATATTATAACAAATATATAAAAAATTATCAATGAATGCAAGTAAATCTAACTTACTTTGAACGAAGAGAGATCCTGAACAACACATGTTAAAATTGCTTCTCTTCCAACAGGAACGGTAACGTTTGCAATAGGCGCACTAAATTTGGGATCAGCTGAAAATAAAAGAAAATTATTTATAATAAAGTACTTATATCAGATTATATAATATATAGCAATTAAATGTCAAATAATTTATAATCGCTAAAATCTTAATTTTCCTGAAGAGTATAATGGAAAACGATAGCAACAGTTGAAATCTTTTTAACCAAAACTTACCTTTTATGAATGTACATGGATTAATATTTGAGAAATTTCAAAGTTCGGATACCAAAAAATATAGGAGCCAATTTTCGGATAAAGCAGGATTGTTATGGTAACGCTATGTTACGGGTCTATAATCGCATGAGTTATTAGTAAAGAACTGTTAAAAAACAGTGCGCGTAAAGTTCACATGCGATTGAAGTAAAACTTATTTGCTACTGTACAAGATGGCATTTTGAATAATGTTTATTAGTACTATGGTAACATTCGTGATGCATTTATTAGTGTCAACCATTATACACATTTATATAATGATAAATTATAAATTATAAATTTATAATAGCATTAAAAATATGTATAATATTTAAAAACAATAATGTAATTAAAGTCATACTTCAAATATGGCATGATCGGTTTGTCATTGTAATTAGCATTTCAATTTTATCAGGAAATCGGCCCGATAACCTGAATCTAGTAATGTTTATGAATTAATTCATTGAATTTTTCTTTATGAAATCGAAAACAATATGCAAATAAACAAATAAATTCCAATAAAAATACGTGCACTTGAAATGATGAATACGACCACACTTTTTTCAGACTTTCGCAATTTTAATCCTATACTTTTTTCTCTTCTATATTTTGCCGTCGCTCGGTTTTCCATTATTTACTCAGTTGTTTTTAGCGGATTTTCGATTTAATTATTTTCCATTCATACTTTTGTTTGTCTGTTTGTTTTGTTTAAGTACTTTATACTTTCTACATGCACACACCGCCCGCGAATATATTAACGGTCAAGGACTGCTAATGATTTTTAAAACGACAGAAAATAGAATCAGAACTCCGCAAAGTAGAATTATAAGCACGGCGGAATTTATTTTTCGGGTCCTCTGGCAGAATTATATGGTGAAAGTTTGCGGACTTTGGTATGGACTGCAAAAAGCACGTTATTTAATAAATTTAAAACTTTTAGGCAGGTTCTTTGAATATGTTATGGATTATAGGAAAATTCATCCAATTTTTGAAATAATAATGCATGTATATCTCAAAATTGTCAACAGTTTTCGGAAATTGTATTTTAAGCATCAAAATTTAGATGTTTGATCATAATCGTCTTTCTTGACCTCCCGCAGAGTAAGTTTTGGTATTTTTATATATCTTTACGCTTTAAAGCCTTCTGAACATTTTAGCATACTATAGAAAAAATTGATGTATGTGCATGTGTGGGTGCGTACGTGTGCGTCGTATGAAATTATGTATGTGCGGATACAATTTTTCGACGATGATTCCGAAAATCCGTATCAACCGATTTGAATGATTCAAAAATCATTCAATTTCTATTGATGTGAAGACGTGCGAATTAGTTTTTGGTCAAGGCGGGTCGAACTTTTCAAAGATACGAGGCAATAAGTGCCAAAAATGGTAATTCAATTTTAGAGAGAACGGAGGGTCCGATTTGAAGATTCAGAAAGCATTTTACTTGTATTGATATATTACTGATACAAAGATTATACTAATATATTACTGATAGATAGATTATAACTGATAAATTTTTAGGAAGACAGGTATAACGGTTTCGGAGATCCAATGATCACTGGACATAAGCACATCAAATTATCAGATATATTATAGAAATTTTAATGAAAAGTACAAATTTTGTTTCCATTTTCATGGGTTCCGTATCAAGATTTCTAATATTTAAGACTTGTACGAGGCGCTTCAATATTTCGTCTTTAAAACAGCTACGCCACGATTGCTTTGAAAAGAAAAAAAAAACAAAACTTAAATTGCATTAGCTCCAACTATTTGTTTTAAGGTACGATGCCATGCACCAATAGTTTCAGTAATACAATGTCTTATAAACATTATATATTTTGATAAAAAAAATTTCAACTGAAGTTCACGCAAATTTTATTGCGAGTTTAGTTATAAATAGTTATATTTTTTTCTCAATTTTTGTGAGTATTTGCAAGATATTACTGTTAAGTTTACATGTTCTTCATGTTTAAAAGATCTTCATTTTATTGCGCAAGATATTTTTATCTAAATTGTGTTTTGAACCAGCACATAAAACAGCATTTTCGGAGAAACCAGAAAATTTATCTTCCTTTTTCTTAAGTTTCTTATTACATGAAGTAAATTCTTCAACTTGTCTTTTCAATTTGGAAGGTTTATGAAGAAAAACAACTCTTTTATTTTGCCAACATTTTGAAACATTGCAAAATAAAGTCGATTTATTTTTAAGGAAATTTTATGATTTAGGAACGTAATTTAACTGATAATTTTTAGATTTTTGTAGATAATTACTGTAATTGCGTATAAATTTTATATATTACTTTTCGAACTCAAAAGAATGTTTTGTAGTTTATACTGTAGCTTTAGAAGAGCTGTACAAATTCACAGATAACTTGACAATAAAGGTTAGATATACTAGAAAACTATCAATTTTGAATTTGTTTATAAACAACAATTTGAACTTGTTAGAGACATCTTTAGAACTTATAAATATATTACGCAATCTAAAAATTATATCTTATATAATTTTATCATTTTATTAGACATTTTCTAGTAGTGATAATATATTTTTAATTAAATGCAGCAATGACGAAAAGAAATATTTTCAGTTCAAAACAAATTTATATCTATATTAAGTAAAATAAATAAATATCACTTCTGATTGACATTGGGTTGTAAACGTGAGAATTTGTGATTGAACACAGCGCTACAAACTCCCATAGTAATATAAAAAGTTATGTTACATAAGAATAAAATTTCGTAATGCATATTAAACCACATATTAATTTCTCTAAATTATATTATCAATCTCTGTAACTAAAAACCCGATTTTAGAAAAACAATCAGTTCTTTCATTCCAGCAGTCCAATAATACATTTAGCTCTAAAAGCATCCTCAATGAAACACAGAATACTACGTTTTTAATTGACTTTTTTCCTTTGTGCTTGCAAGCGCTGAAGTGAGCAAATGTCATTATTTCTTTTAGCGCGATAATAAGAATTAAGCGACTGTTTAATCGAAGCTCTAAAGGCGCCAGAACATGTAAGGAAAACCAGTGAAAAATGAATTAAAAAATAAAGAAAACTAGTGGGGCGCATGGCATCGTGCCTTAAGGCAAATTGCTGGAACTTCCCGTACCGTAATTAAATATTCGGGGAATAAAAACAATAATCAATAAACATTGTTGATCAATTATCATTGTTTTATATATTTATTTCTTCATTAACAGCAATCAGAATGATGATGAATTTAACATATACACAGACATGCACACGAACATACTCACACGCACGTTAACAGAAAAAGAAATTATATAATAGTAATTATATACTACTTCAGCAAGTGGTAAACTAATTGGCTCAGGTCCTTTGGCCATTTACTGGAAAACTACATATTCTATGAACTAATGTGATGAAATTATCATATACACTAACATACATAAATACATACATACCGCACAGACGTTCACGCAAACACTCTCAATAAAAGATTTATAAATATTTAATAGCGGTCAATCAATTATCAATAAGAATTGTTTAATATATTTTTAAAAAGATTTTTTTAACGGCATTGTCGCATTGTTTACAAAAGATGTGAACATAAAATAATATAAACAAACAGCCTATTGTATTGCTCAGTTCAAATAAATCAATTACAAGACATCAGATCACATTTCTAAGAATCAATTTGCATAACGCTTATATAACTATAATATAATAATATCCAATATTTTTTTGAAAAATAAAAAAAATCTTAAGGTTATGAAAATTTCGAAATTATTAATAAATTTCGATATTTTTGTTTTTGAAAATTTGGATTTTTTTAAATGTTAGATTTTTTTAATTTTGAAATTTTCTTTCTTTTCCAAAAACGAATCATTTCTTCACACCGCCAACACAAACAAAATGTTTTTTAAATCATTGTAATAAGAGGGCGTCCATTAATCACGTAAGCGAGGTTTTAAGGATTTTTAGAAACCCACTCCCCCTTGTGATACACGGTGATGTTCAAAATTACCCCCACTAGCCCATCAAACATCACGTGTATTTTTAGTTACGTGAAAAACTGTAAAATTTTTGATGTTTGTTTGAAAATGTTTGAACTTTTAAAAAAAAATAGTTAAAAAATAAATACGCGTGATATCTTACTATACCCCTCCCCCAGGTGATATTTCATGATATTTTCTCAAACCCCCCCTCCCCCTAAAAACATCACGCGATTGATGAACGACCCCAAGACAATCCGTTTTCTCAAAAATTGAATAATCATTTTTTGTACCCTTTGCGCTCCGTACCTCCGAGGCGGCTACACTCTTTGTATTTAAACAGTATGTCTCGCAGTCGGTACGAACGGAATGTTTTTTGAATAACTCCAGTCGTTTTATTCATATTGTCGAAAATACCGAGGGCATTTGTTTGAACCATATAAGTGAACTTTTAAAATCAAAACTATTATTAAATTATTTTTCAAAATATCTGATATTTTGATGTGCATATATGCACAATGATCATTTTTGACCGCCAATATTTTTTTACATTTTTTTAGGCATTTCTAAAACCGCTGAACCTGTCATGCAATCAGAATTATCAGGTATTTTATAAACATTTTAAATAAAAGTACACATTTTATTTACATCTATGGGTCCGTGCCATTTTTCTTTCGTAAAACTGCATCGCGGCGCTTACGCGCTTCGATAATTTGTTTCTAAAAAAACTCATATGTTCAAAGAAGTAATTTATTTCAAAAATTTAAAATATTCTCAAATATTTTCAGTTCAGTTTTCAAAATATTTTAAAGATTAAAAAAAAAAATTGGCACGGGAAGTACCAGCAATTTG